ATGTTTCATTTAATGATCAACTTCATCGTGCATGACCATATGTGCTCCGATCTCCTCCTGGGTATGTCTGGGTGTTTTTGGGGTTAACAACTCCCATTCCGTTGTAGTTGATGTAACAACGGGTGGCTCCCGCGTGGTTTTCTTGTCTCGCTGCTCAAATTGGTTTGCACCCAGGGTATGCAGTCTATTCAGTGAATAATAATTATATACGAAATTGAAAGATTAACAACGTTTACTCGCTCTCGTATGATTTTGATGATGTCTGTCCTGTTCATACATGGACATCCATTCTTAATAGTTGGACTGCCAGTCAGTGCGTCTGCTCTCTTACTGCCTTTCATACAATGCAGTTCTAGCCTATCCTACTCTGTTCTTTATCTCTGTGATATACCTTAAGTAGGATATTATCTTTGTGTCTTGATACTTACACTTCTGTTAAAAAGTTAGTTGTTTATCCTTTACAGGACGTTGCAGAACCACCCACAGCACTTTCTGGCTGTTGTGGTTTTTCTAGGCTAATTCAACGTTCAATAGTTTGTCAATGCTTCCCAAACGGTCAATTTTCAGTACCAATGTCGAAACCAATGCAAGACAAACCGCCCGCAGCTAGGATCGAACCCGGAACCCCGGCATGAAGCACCACCCACTCAGGGCTGTTACGTCGTTTATTCCTCCCTCTCCAAAGTAGGAAGCGGCGATCTGCAAGCATGCCAGTTTTAGTTCGCCAACCTTTGCTATCATCCCAGTGATGGGGTGGAATTGTGAAGCCAACCCAGACGTCTCAACAACCCCCCCCCCACCCCCACCCCGACCCCCACCACACAACCCCTCGTCACTATCTGTGTTAGTTGAGACAGCTGGATAAGGCCAAATGCGGCTTCAGAGTCACAGCTGGATAAGGCCAAGTGCGGCTTCAGAGCAAACCAAAGTGCTCAGGATCTCATCTTCACACTCAGACAGATGAGTTAAAAAGCCCTTAAATATAGGAATAAGATGCACATATGTTCCTGGATCTAGTAAAGGCATTTGATAAGTTCCATAGAACAAGCTCTGGGACTGCTTGACAGGGAAAAACATTCTAGCACCCCTGATCAGTGCAATACAGAGTTTCTACAAAACTGCAGAAATTATGTAAGAACAGCGAGAGACATGGGTAATGACAACAGCTCACAGAAGCCAGCTTCAGACCTCAGAAATGAGATATCTGAGAAAGGTGCTCCAAGTGACAAGAAGGGATAAAGTTCGCAATCAAACAATACGTGAAGATCTTGAAACCCAGGACTTACAAACTCGAGTGGATCAGTCATGGTTACGATGGTTTGCAGATGTAAGCAGAATGGGAGAAAATCGGGACAATGTTATGTGATTCAATCCCAACAAGACCGTACAACAAGCACCAACACACGGTGACGCAAAAGGTCAACGTTCAGATGAGGACCACCCGGGCACCAGTCCCAGAAATCCCGCTCAACCGTTAGGTTATACTGGGGCCACCGACTGCAGCCAGGTTGGGGATTTAAAATAAGGAAAAATTGGGTCCTACATTGGGGCGGGGATATGGCCACCATGGCAGACATGGGAGGCTAAGAACCAGGGAACCAGATCTCCAGGCGACCTAGAGTACGATGGGAAGACAATATCCGACAGTCCCATGACCGACAGAGGACTGGAATGGCACAGAAAGAAAACTACTGACAGAGAAGCCTGGCGATCTCTCTGGCAAACCTTGACACCCCAAGGTAGAAGAGGAGCGACTAAGTAAGTACAACATTAAGAAACTGGCAGGAGGCTCAGCCCAACCACACCCTCTTCCGCCACCCAAATATTCAATGTAGCCTCGGCTCCAGACCCCCCAAAAAAAAACATATTGGGCGGGGGAACTGAGGCTCCTACTGAATGATTTTGTAAGGGAGTCAAGATGCCTCCTTTAGACATGTATAAATATTATGTTTAACATTATTTGTTGATTTATTTCATATTATTACAAGTTTATTATTATATATTTGCACATTATTATTATTAGTTTATTAGTATTATTCTAATATTTATTATCGTCGGCGGCTGTGCTTGGTGCGTTGAGAACGCTTTGTAATTCCGAGGTGCCGGTGTAAGTTACTTTATTGTCTTCTTTATTTTTGTTTGAGAATTAAATGTTGAATTAAGAATTGACATCACAGCACTCGGGACACTCCCATAAGTGCTCATTCCCTATTTTCAGCAGCAAGCGAAGAGTTCCAATTTCGATGGTACCAGTAACTGTTTGATTGTATATCCGTCTCATCCTTCCCCTGAGTTGAATGTTGAATTAAGAATCGACATCACGGCAGTCGGGACACTCCCTTAAGCGCTCCGTTCCCATCTTCAGCAACAAGCGAAGAGTTAAAATTCCGATAGTACCACTAACAGTCTGATTGTATATCCGTCTCGCCTTTCCACTGAGAGTCGAATGTCGGCCAGATTCTCTCGTAACTCCTTGCAGTGCCATTCTCCTCAGACCGTAATGATCTCTCTGTTCCTCGGCACTGTTCACTAGCTCCCAAAGGGCCCTCACAACATTCAGCTTGTCATATATCAGTTCACCACCAAGTGATGCAGAACCGGCCAGTCTATCCGCCTGCTCATTTCCCAACACACCGGTGTGACCTGGAGAAAAATATCCAAAAGATGCTAACAACCCCGGCCCTCTGAAGTGATGCTTGCCACTCTGCATGGAACATGCCTATCTTCACCTTTCTCAGCTTGCTCTGTGAGCCAGTTACAATGACGACATGTGTGTAGAGCTGATTCTCAAGCCAACGGAAGGCAGCAGTGACTGCCTCCACCTCCATTCTCAAACTAGATGTTGTGGTATCATATGCCAGGCTTTGTTGCGCCAAGCGACGTCCATTCGCCTTCGATATGAACCCCCATGCAATTCACTGCTCCTCAGCACAGAGCCATCTGCATATACAATCACATCACTTGGGCGGGAATTGTCATGAATCATTTGTTAAACTTCAGATTCTGCAGCACTAGCTGGCCAGTCCCTGCACCCATTTCTGCACACCAGTCAGTCACTTTGTCCACAATTGTTTGTAGCTCGTGAGCTATCCGTCGTCTATCTCTCCCCTGTCTATATGCAAGAACATCATCGGCAAATGTCAATAGTCTTCCAACACCTGGTGATTCAGCAAGTTCTGCAATCTTGCGTGTATACACATTAAAGAGCACTGGTTAAACTGCAGAACCCTGGGGCAGTCCTGGGGCGATATTACATTGTTCTGAGGTCCATGTACCCAGGCGAATGGCTACCATGCGTGAATGCAAGGACAGCTGCTATCTAGTTCACATACCACGGACAAACCCCCTTCTCCATAAATGCTGAAATCAAAATATCATATTTGACTCTATTGTAGGCATCCTCAAGATCAAGTGCGACCACAACCGTCTCCTGTCTGTTCTGGAACCCCTCATGAACATCAAAAACAAAAGTAGCTGCTTTCCCTGAGTGTGGAGCTTCGACCAGATCCCCTGGTAACTCCTCGCAGCGCCATTCTCCTTAGGCCGTAACGATCTATCTGCGCCTCCGCGCTGTTCACTCGCTCCCAAAGGGCCCTCACAATATCTAGTGAGTGTGGTATTGTAGCTTTATGTATGTACTAGTGTTTGTTCTTTATCGGCTGTAAACTCCGGTGGAAAGTTCTGGTTGTTCATCCAGATCTGGACTTTAGACTTGCACCAGAACTTGGGTGTTACATACTCATCCGTTTTACAGATCTGGCTTTTTTTAACGCACTGTTGATTCCTTGTCTCTCATGTTTCGATTGAAATCCCGAATTAGTCGACTCTTGCGACGTGCTTGCTGGGGAGGCAGTGGGTCTATTCGTGTTTTCCCCATAATGGGGATGCACACGGGATGGAAAACAATAAAAGATAATGGCGCTTACAAACTACTACGTCACGCATGGCTATGGAGGTAACCGATGCTCCAAGAGCGCTACTATGGGCAAAAACACAAGAAGTCATACATATAGCAATCGTATAATATTTTGTCAATATGGTTCCGAAAACAGCAGCAGGTAGTATATGCTCTGAGTGGGTAGAAATCATTCGAAAATCACGCTACACCCCCTTTAATTGGATCTACACACATGACAATGCCTGAACGGGGGTAATGAACGTGTGCACCAGCTGGCAAGCAATGCACCAATGCATACAGTTAGGAGCCTAAACATAGCTTATTTCACCAACGCTAAATGGACTCGGCTGGTGGTTAATGACGAATATCTGAAACTAACACGGTTGTCATGGGAATACAGCTTGGTCCCCTTCGAGGCTGAGATAGAAGACATAACCAACTTTTCATGGGAATAATACGGTCAGTAGCGGTACCCCCCCCCCCCCACCCGTGTGAGTTCCGGGGCCCCATTGTGGGGAAAACAAGAAACTACCAGACTACCAGACCCACTGCCTCCCCAAAAAGCATGGCGTAAGAGTCGACTAATTGGGGAGCTTCCTTTGAAGTCGGAGTGCATCTGCCGGAGAGGCAAGGAACCAACAGTCTGTATTCAAAAGAATGAGATCTGTAAAACTGATGCACACGCAACACTCAGGTTCTGGAGCAGGACTTCAGTTCAGTAGTGGACGATCAACCAGAACTTTCCGCCAGAGTGTACAGCTGGTGAACGCGAAGAAGAAGAAGAAGTAGCGGTAACTCGCAGTTACTGCTGCATTAGCGGATTGCCCGCGCATGGGAATGTCCAAAATACTGTGACGTCGGTTGTGATAACATAAAGTAGTAGTTCTGATGTGGAAAGGCTCCGGTAGACCACGGCCAGCACCCCCCCCCCCCCCCCCAACCACATCCTTTTTTTCCAAGAAGGTGGGTGGGGAGCTGGTCATTGTTTTTTCGTGACGGACTCTTCTCAATAAAAAGTTTCAAGGAGGCTGGGTCACGTGACTTCCGCCGTCCATGTTTGACCTATCCGTGTCTCTGTAGGACAAGTATTGTAGCAGAAATTATGGCAGTCCGGATCTCCAGACCTTTGCTTCTCCCATACAAGGTTGGTACTTGGTTATTTCTGTACTGATACCAGCTCTCCCACTTTACTGAGTTTTGGGCTTATAGGAGACATACAAGTGCTGCGTGTGCACGGACAATGACGACTGCTAAGTCAAGGCGAGTGTGTTAAGTGTTACTTTTGCCAACAAGTCCACTGGTGGTCTCACTGAGCCTCAGTACCTTGTTTGTTGACAAACTTTTATGTTGGTTATATCGTTGTGACGTACCATGCCTTGCGGCTACAGCACACATTTTTTTCTTTTTAAGATCGAACCATGATCCTATGATGAAAGTCCTCTGTCACCTTTGCTTCTCAGTCAGTCAAAATCGGTTTTACCACACTCACCCATCTTGTTTGTTTCTCCTTCCTGTCAAACTACAGCACGACCACCACACATTCACACACAGATCGCTTTCAGACCCTTTCAAATAATTTTCTTGGGAATCACCATGAAATCAGTCTGGGTAATTAAAGAGTCAGTGTCAGTATGGGAACACACAAATTGAGGAATGTTTACTTATCAGATACTACTACTACTAGATTTAATTGCTCGGCTTCACCCAAGATAGTAGATTGATAGTGGAAGAAAGTGGCTCTCCTTGCAATAACGGTCGCTAGTTGGACGGCAGCGACTGCCGCTTCGTCGGAGTTCAGTCCCCTGGCTGCAGTGCAATAATGGAGTGGAAAAGAGGGAACAAAACAAATGACATAGCTAGTGGTAGGGTTTGGGTTACGGTTAGGGTAACACATGTAACGTCCAGTACTTACCCATAATGACGGCCGCTATATCTAATAATTTTGACACAGGAGTTCCAAATAATGGCCGAATATGTACTGCTTGTGGCAGTGGGGCCATTGGAACTGTGCTAAATGTGCCGTGGCCACTAAGTCTTGCGTCGTAAGAACGCGGTCGCTAATGTGAGTTGCAGCGCATGGTCTAGAAGCCATGTTGAATTCACTTTGTTTTGTGATGCGTGCCTTGTCCACTCGGTAATTGCACTGCAGCCAGGGGACTGAGCTCCGACTAAGCGGCCGTCCAAGTAGCGACCGTCATTGCAAGGAGAACCGAAGAAAGTTATTCTCCCATCCTCCTCATCTTGGTCTCCACCATAGCCCCATATGTAGGCCTAGTGGTCTAACAACTAAAACCATGTATTGAATATCCTGTCTTCTACTTCATCTTTATACTTTGTCTCCACCACTGGTGTATCTTTGGTCATTGCCCCTGAGTGCACCCGCGACATCCCCTGTAACACTAACACCAGTATTTAACCATTTATGAGACACAAATATAATGTCTCAGGCACAGATGTGATTTCAAGGAAGATTACAGTGAAATATAGTTTTTAAATTTTTTTTTTTTTTAAACTCTTTGAGCATAGTGGGTTTAGCATCACAGGCCTAAGGGGTAGTAAAGAGAGACATAAAATTGGTGTAGCATGTTTTAATTGGGCTTCTAGGTATGAACCTATATACATATGATGAGTTAATTAGGACTGAGAGTTAAATTACATTTTAAAGGAAAATGATAGGGTTATTCGAAGGGGTATAACTCCAGCAAATTTTGTACTTTTACTGATTGTTGCAATAAATAAAGAAATGCACAGTAACCTGGCTGCCCTATGACTGTTAAATGAAACATTGTAGTCATAATGGCAAATGACATTTTAACCTATGTCATGGTTTGGGAAAAGTTGACAATTCATTTATAATAAAGACAGAAAGGGTTTGTGATTTATAGTATATATGAAACTGCTAATCTGGAAGCACTGAATGAATTGCTTTTAATCCTAACCTTTCATAATCAAATTTAGTTCAGGAAAACTAGCATAAGCAGGCATGTTAAAATAATGAATGGTCCCCCTTGTCCTTTCTTTCTCCTGCCCGGTCCGCCTCTATGTTTTCGTTTCCCCTCTGTCTTCTGTGGTGTATATAAAAATATATAATTTATAACATGCAAACATTACCATCGAAATGTACCGTTTCCGCTGACATACCCAACAACCCTAGCTTTCCTCTTAACCGCCCAGGCCTTTCTGCCTCCCACTGTCCCTACTCTCTGTTAAATGTTAGTGAGAAACGATACAAACCATCATCATTTTATTGATTTTGCTTTTGTTTGTACAAATATATATTTCAACAATAAACACTTTAAAAAAATGAAAAAAAAGCAGACCATGTTGTTATTGACATCCAAGATAAATGAACACAAACAGTGGAAAACCTTCCTAAACTGAACAAAGAACAGTGAGGAGTCTTAAACTTTGCATTGTGTTCAGATGTGTCTGTTGGATTCTGAATGCACTAACCTGTCTGTTTATGGATCAACTATTAGTTGCCTTGTCAGTTTGTGTTAGACAGAAGTTGATTTCGTGTGTATGGCTGTTACAAGTCAGATTGGCTGTAACTTGAGAACAGTGAAAGTAATGCTACATACATGTTCCATTGGGATAGGGGACTGTCCAACAGCAGACATGATAAAACAGCACCAAGAAATGTTTACCAGCATCAATTTTTTTTCATTTACCACAAAGTTACAATCGTCAGTGTTGGTTACATTCTTCTAGTTTTCTCAACCAAATTCTGTGTTTATTTCATAGATAATTATTAGTATATTCTATGAATGATAGATGGGTCATTGGTACTATATTTTTTGGTTACCCCAATGACGTCATGGGACATGGTGGTAAGGTAGGGCTTTTCACATTTCCTGAGCACGTTAAGTTTTCTTTGGCGGGCGTTGCCAACTGGGCTATACAACCATACAATTATTTACCTCGCTTTTTCATAACTTTAATAAATATTTGTTTTGCGATGGTCTTTGGTGACCCCCGTAAAAAGATTGTTTGACACACAAAAAAAGGGGTCGCGACCTGTAGGTTGAGAACAGCTGCCCTAGTTGATCTATCACCTCACATAGTTGGGTCCTAGTTGGTAGATCATCTCACCTAATTGTGCCCTATCTGATTGATCACCTCACCTAACTATGCCAGAGCTGGTCCCTGAGCCTCTCATGGAGTTTAGAGGTTGAGCCTGGTCATCTGTAATGGTCAGGTTGAAGATTTTCTATGGAGATAACTGCTCCAAAAAAAAAGTATTCATCTGATTGTTGAGGATATCTCCTCACAGTGAGAAACATACAATCTTTATTGATACTGCATATTGTTTTTGTGAACGTATCAGCAGTTGCCTGTTCATGGTTGACTTTTCTTGGTTTCAGGGCCGTATGTTCAGTGCTGTGGCCCAACCAGAGCCAAGGTTAACAGCTGATGAAAAGGAGCCAAGAGTAAGTCTTCCATTGTTAGTGGTTGTCCTTGTTTCTGCAGCTAGATGTTTTAGTAGCTTCTAGAGAGAGAACATGTTCTCATTTACACGCACACACCACACACACAGATACACTTTGTCTTTACCAGCTTTTTGCTTATGTCAAGCTACATCTGTGATTTCAGCCCTTACCAGGCCTGTGTGCACTTCATTCACTCTCAGCAATCATAGTGTGAATATATAGTGCTGTAAATGCTTGGTACTTTAAATGTTTAATACTCTGAAAATTTTGTAATGGAAATATTGATTACTTTAAATGTTTCTACTGTAAAAATCTTCTACTGAAAATGTTGAGTACTTCAAATATTTAGTAATGTAAATGTTAAGTACTGTAAAAGTCTTGTACTATACATTTTTAGTGCTGTAAACATAAGATACTGTAAATGGTTAGTTCTATAAATATACTGTTCTGTAAATCGCTAATTATATAAATGAATAGTGTTGCAAATGATAAGTACTGTACAAATAATACTGTTAAAGTACTGTACAAAACATTTTTAATTAGTTTCGTACTAAACATTTTTTATGCTGTACATATATAGTACTACTAAATGTGTAAGTGTTTAGTACTGTAAAATTCTTGTGCAGTGACCATATAGAGCATATTTAACTGTAAAAGATGTGGTACACTTATTAAATCAGTGCTGTAGACAAAAATGGAACAAAAGAGCAAACAAAAATGTAAATGACAAGTGAGCTTTCAAGCATCAGAAAATCTGTGGCAGCCAGCAGAAGTTAAAACTAGTGCCAGACTTAGAATATTTATCCATAACATCAAATCGGTACTGCAGTATGAAGCAGAAACATGGAGAACAATTAAAACAGTGGTTCCCAGCCGGTGTTCCACAGAGCCACAAGGGACTCTGCATAATTTTAAGGGCACTGTGGCCACTTCTGAAAATTAAATAAAGCTTGAATGAAATTGAAAATTAAGAAACAAAAGCTAGAATCTGCTACCACTAGCTCCAAAATTGTTGACAGGCAAGGACATTGAGCTGGTTGTCCATACATTCAAATGTCATTTGTCCATCATGGAACTGAATGTTCTAGTACGGTAGGCCTGAAGAGCATTGCAAGAAAAGTTGCTTCTAGAAGGGATACCATGAGTCAGAATATTTAGGAACCACTGTACTAGCACAGTTACTGATAGAAACTTTCATTCGCTGGTGCCTGTGCAGAATGAAGGGAATTAAACATTGTAACAAAATCACATATGCAGCGCTTAGAGAGGTAGAGAGAAAGTTGAACAGAATCAAGAGGAGAGAAAGAGATGCTGCTGAGGAACAGATGGCTGCTGCTGGGTATGACACACATTGAGAAGACTTGATAATAGTTTAATTAGAATCTCCTTTCACCGGAGCCCAAGAAAAATGAAAATGTCTTGCGGACGTGTACTTTGCACACAGTAGGGAGATTAGAGCCTAGCCAGTTAGCATTCTGGTGTAGACCAAGCTGTATGGCTCGGTGGACAGGCATAAACGGACAGGGAGAACAAAAAGAAGTACTGAGGACACATTGTTAAGGCATAATGTTGTGTAAACACATAATTTTAGACCCTGAAACCTCACTGTTTGGGGTTCTTGGGATATTCCTGCTGCCCCCCCCCCCCCCCCCCCCAACAGGTATGTCATAGGAGGTGACTAATTAGAGGTATTTATGTCCATGTTAGAGTACATTTGCCTGAGAGGCAAATAACCAGCAGTCTGCATGTAACTAAGCCAGATCTGTAAATTAGTGTACATGCAAAACTCAAGTTCTGGAAAAATCTCCAGAAGTGGCTGAACAGCCAGAACGTTCCACTGGAGTTTACAGCTGATGAAGGCCAGGTTTAAGAAAAAGGTCCTGAAACCAGAAAACATAAATATTTATGAATGAATGGATGGATCATGATCTGAGATCACTGCACTCGAAACAATCCCACACATTCTCCATCCCCTTCTTCAGTGACCAGTGAAGAAAGAGTTGACGTGCTAATAGTACCATTTGCAACCTGATTAAAAGTCAGCCTCTGTTTCGCCTTCAATGTTGAATATTTTCCAGAACCCCTCCACATCCCCATTGAATTCATTTTCCTCTCAGTGATTGTATTTCCTATCTGTTCTTTTTGACTGTCCATTTGATCCCATACAGCAGCAGTTCTCAACCTGCGGGTCACAGCCTTTTTTTTTTTTTTTTTTTGGGTCGAGCTACCCTTTCACAAGGGTCACCCTAAGACCATTGGAAAACACATATTCATTGAAGTTATGAAGGAAAATAATTGTTTGCGGGTTGGTGAGTGAACTGTATCAAAGGGTCGCGTCATTAGGACAGTTAAGAGCCACTGCCTTAGAGCCTTCACCACATCCTCTTTATCATAGAGTAACTCCCTGCTTGTTACCTCCCACCCACCCCTGAGTGTCCTGGTCAGATAACCCATGATATGCTCTTGATCTGGGTTTTTAAGTTACGAGTCTGTTACAGTTACAACATATCGGGCTGTGCTGCTGTCAAGCCATCAGAAAGCTGCCGTCACTACATAATATTTCTTCTTTCCATTAATGGGATACCATCGTCTGTTTCAGGCTTACATTAAAAAGCTAAGCAATGGGATGCTGGTAGGAACCATAGAGTCTCAGTCTCCTCTGTCTAGACTGGCAGTAGTGGTCAATGCTGGCTCCAGGTATGAGAGTGGAGACAATCTTGGTGTTGCACATGTCCTCCGACATGCTACAAAACTTGTAAGTCGTGTATAGTCCAGAGTGACTGGTTGGTTTGATTTGAGAGAGGGAGTGAGAGAGAAAGAAGGTCCATTTGTAACAAGTTAGTTTGATGAGAGGGGCAGAGAGAGGCATCCATTCATGATAGGTTGGTTTGATCTGAGAAAGAGAAAGTCCCTTTATGGCTGGTTGGTTTTATCTGAGAGAAAGAGAGGGATAGGGGGAAAAATGGGGTGGGGGCGAGGTGGTAATTTATGAATGCTTGCTTTGATTTGAGAGAGAGAAAGTCCCTTTGTGACTGGTTGGTTTTATCTGAAAATCGGGGAGAGAATGTCCATTTGTGATGTGCTGGTTTGAAGACAGTCCAGTTTGTGACTGGGTGGGTTTGTAGACAGTCGAGTTTGTGTCTGTTTGGTTCGTACAGTTTAGTTCACGACTTGTTGGTTTGTAGACTGTTCAGTTTGCTACTTGTTGGTTTGTAGTCCAGTTTGTAGAAAGATAAGTTTGTGACTGGTTGGTTTGTAGAAAGTTCAGTTTGTGACTTGTTGGTTTCTGTAGAAAGTTCAGTTTATGATCCACATGACTCGGTTGTTTCACATTTACCCCATAGTTCGTTGGGGCACACATTGCAGCATTCACCAGACAAGACACTAGATAGTTGCTCACACATTGCATTATTTAGCATAAGACTAAGTGGTTGGTCACACATTGCAGCATTCACCAGACATGACACTAGATAGTTGCTCACACATTGCATTATTTACCCCAGCATAAGACTAAATGGTTGGTCGCACATTGCAGCATTCACCAGACATAACACTAGATAGTTGCCCACACATTGCATTATTTACCCCAGCATAAGACTAAATGGTTGGTCACACATTAGCATTCACCACACATGAGATTAGCTTGTCTTCATAAATTGCAGCATTCACCACACTTGAGACAAAACAGTTGGTAACACATTGCAAAATTGACCATACATGAGACTGGATGGTTGGTCACACATTGCAGCATTTATTGTACAAAACACTGGGTGCTAATATCGTTTCGGCTTCTCTCTTTCACAGAGAACTGAAAACCTCTCCAACTTGGGAATAACAAGGTCGACTCAGCAACTGGGTGCTGATCTCACGTAAGTATAGCTGCAGTCGAGAACCTTGATCTCATGTCACCTGTGGTTTTGTAGATCCTTGATCTCGTGTTTTCTGTAGTTTGTAGATCCTTGATCTCATGTTACCAGTGGTTTGTAGATCCTGTTCTCATGTTACCTGTGGTTTGTAGATCCTGTCCTCGTTTACCTGTAGTTTGCAAATCCTTGATCTCCTGTCACCTGTAGTTTATAAATCCTTGATTTTATGTTACCTGTGGTTTGTAGATGCTTGACCTCATGTTACAGTTTGTAAACCCTTGACCTCATGTTACAGTTTGTCGATCTGTGACTTCATGCTACAGTTTGTAGACCCTTGACCACATGTTACAGTTTGTAGATCTATGATCTCATGTTACAGTTTGTCAATCTGTGATCTCATGTTACAGTTTGTCGATCTGTGACCTCATGTTACAGTTTGTCAATCTGTGATCTCATGTTACAGTTTGTCAATTTGTGACCTCATGTTACAGTTTGTAGATCTATGACCTCATGTTACAGTTTGTAGATCTATGACCTCATGTTACAGTTTGTCGATCTGTGATCTCATGTTACAGTTTGTCGATTTGTGACCTCATGTTACAGTTTGTAGATATGTTACCTGTGGTTTGTGGATCCTTGATCTCATGTTACCTGTGGTTTGTGGATCCTTGACCTCATGTTACCTGTGGTTTGTTTATCCTTGACCTCATGTTATAGTTTGTCGATCTGTGACCTCATGTTACAGTTTGTCGATCTGTGATCTCATGTTACAGTTTGTCGATTTGTGACCTCATGTTACAGTTTGTAGATATGTTACCTGTGGTTTGTGGATCCTTGATCTCATGTTACCTGTGGTTTGTGGATCCTTGATCTCACGTTACCTGTGGTTTGTAGATCATTGATCTCATGTTACCTGTGGTTTGTGGATCCTTGATCTTATGTTACCTGTGGTTTGTAGATGCTTGACCTCATGTTACAGTTTGTAGACCCTTGACCTCTTGTTACAGTTTGTAGATCTATCACCTTATGTTACAGTTTGTAGATCTGTGACCTCATGTTACAGTTTGTAGACCCTTGACCTCATGTTACAGTTTGTAGATCTGTGACCTCATGTTACATTTGTAGATCTATGATCTCATGTTACAGTTTGTTGATCTGTGACCTCATGTTATTGTATGTAGATCTTTGACCTCATGTTACAGTTTGTAGATCTATGACCTCATGTTACAGTTTGTCGATTTGTGATCTCATGTTACCTGTGGTTTGTGGATCCTTGATCTCATGTTACAGTTTGTCGATATGTGACCTCATGTTACAGTTTGTCGATCTGTGACCTCATGTTACAGTTTGTGGATCCTTGACCTCATGTTACCTGTGGTTTGTGGATCCTTGATCTCATGTTACCTGTGGTTTGTGGATCCTTGATCTCATGTTGCCTGTGGTTTGTGGATCCTTGATTTTATGTTACCTGTGGTTTGTAGATGCTTAACCTCATGTTACAGTTTGTAAATCTGTGATCTCATGTTACCTGTGGTTTGTGGATCCTTGATCTCATGTTACCTGTGGTTTGTAGATCCTTGATCTCATGTTACCTGTGGTTTGTAGATCCTTGATCTCATGTTACCTGTGGTTTGTGGATCGTTGATCTCATGTTACCTGTGGTTTGTAGATGCTTGACCTCATGTTACAGTTTGTAGATCTATGACCTCATGTTACAGTTTGTAGATCTATGACCTCATGTTACAGTTTGTAGATCTATGACCTCATGTTACAGTTTGTAGATCTATGACCTCATGTTACAGTTTGTCGATCTGTGACCTCATGTTACAGTTTGTAGATCTGTGATCTCATGTTAACCTGTAGTTTGTAGGTTCTTGTACTGGAGATACATTATTTGTAGTTTGTAGATATACAGACTAATGCCTGAGATTAATCTGATGGTTGTGTCATTCGGTATTTATCATGCAGCAAAGTAAATAATGCTAACAGTGATACATGTCCTTCCATACTGTTGGCTCTGTGAGAGGACAAACAGTGAAATGTGAAACATTACATACAATACCTTTGAGAGCATAAAGTGACCTAAGCCTGTCATAATGACATTGCCTAGGATAACGGGTACGGTGTGACCAGAATCTCACAGATGCTACAGTACTGAACAAGGCAGCAAATTTGAAAAAAGCACATAAAACCACAAAAAATACTTTTGTGTGTGTTAGCTTACATAATGTGCTCTAGGTAAAGCTGGCATCTGGCTTTCCTGGTCTAGATCAGGAAAGTGTGTAGTTTATCACAGTTTACACAGTTGTCATTCTGACCTGTCACTGACAGTCAGATGCCTTCTCCACATTGAAGGTTGTCTGTAGTAGACCTCCAACACTATTCTCTGGTTTATACTTTCTGGGACTGACATTTAACCGAGTCTTGATGTCCTCTTATTTGTAACGCTAACTAACTCTGGTTCGCTTGCCTTGATGTTTTATCTCCTGTGTATTATTCTATCAGTGTCATGTTTCTTAAAGTGACCAAACTGTACTTGTCTCTTGTTTATTTCTTTCAACAGCTTTTTTTTTTATCCCTCTCTCTTGTATACCCACATCCCCAAAGCCCTACTTTAACTGTCTTTGCTGCTAAATCCTGTTATAAACTGTTCTAGATTTGGATGAATATTTTACCTTCGGATGATTATTCTATCATGGATATGACTTGTAGCACAAACTAGCTGCAGCATTAATCCCAGTTTAACTCAGAAACACCTATAGCACCTGAACCAAAGAGCCATCTCAAAGCAAGCTCACAACCTTCAGAGCACTAGGCCAACACCTGAACCAGTTTGCCCTGGAGAGCCCTGTCAAAGCACGATAATTGTGGATTGTGGCAGTCGCTCACTAGCTGTCTGTTGTCATGTTGGAGGCACCATCTGAATGACTTTTGCTTGCTTTCAGGTGCCAGGGCACACGAGAACATCTCTTCTACAAGGGAGTTGTCACCAGAAACTGTGCGTAAGTAACCCTATTTTTTTTAAATGAAACATTTGTCATTGTCGTTAGATCGGAAAGGTTTTTCCAAACTGTGCCCTCCCTCAGCAGATCTTTCACAGAACATGGCAGCATCCACATTCTTACGATTATGGCTGAAAGAAGTGGTTCAGATGTCATATCTGTATTCTCTACCTCCTGGTTATCACATGTTGGGTGTGTCAGTTGTCATATTTATTACGCCATTGTATCTGTTACACTTGTCATGGTGGTACTGTTCTCGTTGATAGTTGTCTCATGTCTGTTATGCCATTGTATCTGTTGCACTTATCATGGTGGTACGGTTCTCGTCGATAGTTGTCTCATGTCTGTTATGCCATTATATCTGTTACACTTGTCATGGTGATACCGTTCTCATCTAAAGTTGTCATGCCAGTGTGTGATTGAGTCTGTCCAGCTGCCAGATGTTCTGTCACTTGTATTTGTTTGTCAGTCTTGTATCAGTTGCAGGTATAGACACCTGTCTCTGTTTGTCAGTCTTGTATCAGTTGCAAATATAGACACCTGTCTGTGTTTGTCAGTTTGCATCAGTTGCAAATATAGACGCCTGTCTGTCAGTCTTGTATCAGTTGCAGATCTAGATGCCTGTCTGTCAGTCTTGTATCAGTTGCAGATGTAGACGCCTGTCTGTGTCTGTCAGTCTTGTATCAGTTGCAGGTGTAGACACCAGTCTTGTATCAGTTGCAGATGTAGATGCCTGTCTGTGTCTATCAGTCTTGTATCAGTTGCAGATGTAGACGCCTGTCTGTCAGTCTTGTATTAGTTGCAGGTGTAGACACCAGACTTGTATCAGTTGCATATGTAGATGCCTGTCTGTGTCTGTCAGTCTTGTATCAGTTGCAGATGAAGACGCCTGTCTGTCAGTCTTGTATTAGTTGCAGGTGTAGACCCAGTCTCATATCAGTTGCATATGTAGACGCCTGTCTGTGTCTGTCAGTCTTGTATCAGTTCCAGATGTAGACACCTGTCTGTGTCTGTCAATCTTGTATCAGTTGCAGATGTAGACACCTGTCTGTGTTTGTCAGTCTTGCATCAGTTGCAAATGTAGACGCCTGTCTGTCAGTCTTGTATCAGTTGCAGATCTAGATGCCTGTCTGTCAGTCTTGTATCAGTTGCAGGTGTAGACATCTGTCTGTCAGTCTTGTATTAGTTGCAGGTGTAAACACCAGTCTCGTATCAGTTGCAGATGTAGACACCTGTCTGTCTCTGTCAGTCTTGTATCAGTTGCAGATGTAGGCGCCTCTCTGTAACTACATACAGAGTTGGCAAGACCCATTCAGTGTAGGTGTACTCTATTCTGAGTTTATAGTGTCACTTCCTGAGTGAAGATTTTGCTCTGGGTATATATGCCAAGCTTGTTTATACTGTCATGCTCTGGCATGTATTTGGGGGGGGTGGAGGTCCTCTTTTCAGTCTTTCATTATAGACTGCTATAAGAGCATCTTCACCTCTGTAAAGCTCTAAGAGTGGCATCAGGTTCCCTGCTGGTTTATCTGCCTTTTCAAGGGATGCCACAGTGAGTGGGTATCCAACAATCATCACAGTTTTGGTGGTTTCTGAGACAGCAAATCTGCCTTCACAATTCAGAAGTCCAGACAGTGTTGATGGGTTTCTGTGATAGCATCTAACACAAGGGGGGTTTATGTATTACTGCATTATGCAACTGTCTGTATCAATACAGAGAATTACTTAGAATAAAAACCAGGTAATTCCATAGTCTTTTATTTATTTGTTTTTTATTCACTTATTATTTTACTGTCAAATGGTATACAAATGTATTGTTTTTGGTCATCTTGTGACAGCGCTAAGGTTGTGGAGATCCTGCGAGAACTCACCACCAAGCAAACATTCAAGGACTGGGAGCTAGAAGAAATACAGGCTGATCCTAATGGTTTAAAACTTGATCTCTCTGTTTTGAAAACACGCCCTGACATCCGTAAGTTTTACACCTGCTGTTGGACAATCTGTACATTGCTAGGCTTAGTGTTAATGCCATAACTCATGTATACATGACACGACTTGGCTAAAAGTGATGATAATTGTGAATGTATTAAAAGACAACCGTTGATCAAGTGAAGACCAATCAGGTTGGGGAGGTTTTCAGCTAACAGATAGTCCATGATCATACTCTGATGTTATTGTTGCCAGTCAGTCTTTTTGCTGCCTGCCAGGACCTCAGTGGCCATACTGCAGTCAGTGTTTTTGCTGCCTGCCAGAGACCTCAGTGGCCATACTGCAGTCAGTGTTATTGCTGCCTGCCAGAGACCTCAGTGGTCATACTCCAGTCAGTGTTATTGCTGTCTGCCATTGACCTCAGTGGTCATACTCCAGTCAGTGTTATTGCTGCCTGCCAGGGACCTCAGTGGTCATACTCCAGTCAGTGTTATTGCTGTCTGCCATTGACCTCAGTGGTCATACTCCAGTCAGTGTTATTGCTGTCTGCCATTGACCTCAGTGGTAATACTCCAGTCAGTGTTATTGCTGTCTGCCATTGACCTCAGTGGTCATACTCCAGTCAGTGTTATTGCTGCCTGCCATTGACCTCAGTGATCATACTCCAGTCAGTGTTATTGCTGTCTGCCAGGGACCTCAGTGGTCATACTCCAGTCAGTGTTATTGCTGTCTGCCATTGACCTCAGTGATCATACTCCAGTCAGTGTTATTGCTGCCTGCCATTGACCTCAGTGATCATACTCCAGTCAGTGTTATTGCTGCCTGCCAGGGACCTCAGTGGTCATACTCCAGTCAGTGTTATTGCTGCCTGCCATTGACCTCAGTGGTCATACTCCAGTCAGTGTTATTGCTGCCTGCCAGAGACCTCAGTGGTCATACTCCAGTCAGTGTTATTGCTGCCTGCCATTGACCTCAGTGATCATACTCCAGTCAGTGTTATTGCTGCCTGCCATTGACCTCAGTGGTCATACTCCAGTCAGTGTTATTGCTGCCTGCCAGAGATCTCAGTGGTCATACTCCAGTCAGTGTTATTGCTGTCTGCCAGGGACCTCAGTGATCATACTCCAGTCAGTGTTATTGCTGCCTGCCAGAGACCTCAGTGGTCATACTCCAGTCAGTGTTATTGCTGTCTGCCATTGACCTTAGTGGTCATACTCCAGTCAGTGTTATTGCTGCCTGCCAGGGACCTCAGTGGTCATACTCTAGTCAGTGTTATTGCTGTCTGCCAGGGACCTCAGTGGTCATACTACAGTCAGTGTTATTGCTGTCTGCCATTGACCTCAGTGGTCATAATCCAGTCAGAGGTTAATGAAAAGAAACTATTCATTTGGCTATAGGATGTAAAATATGATTTGCTGAGTTGTTGTGTAGTCTGGACACAGGGCTGGTTGTTTCTCTGTGATCAGTACCTGGTTGCGGGCAAGGAGACACAACAAACTGTGTCTTTGCTTGTTGGCTTAGGCAGAGTCTGCTGACATATTATTTCTTTGGCTTATATCATTCTGGTGATGTCTGAACTTGTTGAATCCACTTGTGTCAGGACTGTTCTCGTGGTCGGCTAGTATCAGCCCAACATCATTTATCTGTCCCTGCCTGTCAGAGCTTTCATACTGTCATGCTCAGCTGTCCTCGTTGTAGACCTTCACTGTCCAGTATGGACATAAATGGACATTCACTCTCCCATATGGACATAGTGTGGACATGGGCTTTCAGGTATATCGTAAGGGCAATTGTAAGGGCCTTCATTTTTCTTATTCTCCTTTTTCTTAGCTTTCCCTGGCAGTGAACTCCAAAGGAAAGCTCTGGTTGTTTGTCCACTTCTGGACTTTGGTCTTGTTCCAGAACTTGAGTTTTGCTCATCATTTTTACACAGCTGGCTTGTTTGTATGCAGACTAACATGCATGTTTGTGGGAGGCAGTAAGTTTGGTTTCTCCCCACCCCCACCCCCTGAACGAGGGGGCATTTTTTATTCAGTATCTGTATTCCCACAGCTGTTTTGCTATCATTTAATTGGCAGCAATAAGAGGTATTCTGTTGTGCTGGGTCACACCTGTTCACCCAGTATTGTTTTATATTACCTATATGTGATTAGTCACACCTCTCATCTCAGTGTTGTATCATATTGCTCATGTATGGTCAGTCGCATCTGTTATCTCAGCATTGTATAATATTGCTCATGTACATCTCAGTATTGGCTATTGTGTAATATTGCCCATATGTGGTCAGCCAAACCTGTCACACCTGTGTTGTGCTCACCTGGTGCTGTCTGTGTCTGGCAGGTGTGATTGAGCTGCTGCATGCTGCAGGTTTTCGAGACACCCTGGGCAGATCTCTGTATGCACCAGAGTTTATGATTGGCAAATATACCCATGACCAGGTAAGTCTGCTTCCTCCATTTACTGCTGGATCACTGCAAGCGTATCTGATTTTTTTTTTTTTCTTCCTCTGCAACGTTCATATATTCTCTGTTAGGTTGCAACATTCACACCTTCTCTTTGAAGCTAAAATATTTGCACCTTCTCTAGGAGGCTGCAACATTCACACTTCTCTTAGAAGCTGAAACATCTACACCTCTAGGAGACTGCAACATTCACATATTCTCTAAAAGCATGCAGCACTCACACATTCTCTAGGAGACTGCAACATTCACACATTCTCTGAGAGCCTGCAACATTCCCATCTTCTCTAGGAGACTGCAACATTCACACCTTCTCTAGGAGACTGCAACATTCACACCTTCTCTGTGAGACTGCAGCATTCACTCTCTCTAGAAGGCTGCAAAGTTTACGCCTTTATATGATGCTAGACACATTCTTTTATAGACTAGTTGGCATTTGGTCGTTGATCTGTTCAGCACCACTCAGGCTGCCTTTACTTCCCAAGGCATTACATAGTACGATTTTTAGACTTGTCAGACTGGGTACAAGGGTCGTTATGGGGATTTGAACCCAAGATCTTTGGGCTGGCAAGGGAACGTAGATGTATCTTGTAGGAATCAAATGTATTTGTGTCATTTAGAAAGCCAGAATGTATACGGAATCTGGAATGGAGATGCGTCCTGTAAGAATCTGAACTGTAGATGTGCCCTGAAGGAAGCAGGAATGTAGATGTGTAGGAAGCTAGAATGTAGATGTATATGAATCTGGAATGCACTCATAGATGTGTAGGAGCTGGAGTGTAGATGTTTTATGCAGGAAACTTGAATGTGGATGTGTAGGAACTGGAATCCGAGATTTGTCCTGTTGGAAGGTTGCTAGTTTGCTGATCTTTTTGTCGCCAGCTGCTTCACTACGTGAAGACCTACTTCAGCAGTGGACGTATTGCTCTCTGTGGTGTTGGCATCCATCAGATGAACTGGAGCAGCTGGCCAGTGAGTTTGAGCCCTACAGCTCTATTGGAGTTCCACAGACCAATGCCACATTTTATGGAGGTTAGTATTCTCAAAACACATCTCATACACTGCATATTCATTCAAACCCTGTGCTGCCAATGTCATACGTAGTCACTCGCAACAAACAAGAAACATAAAAAAATTGGTAACCATGCAAATTTGATGTCTGAGAAGGGCTGCAGTAGTGACCAGAAAAGATAAAATCAGGAATGTGGTCATAAGGGGGAAAAATCACCACAAAACCAATTCTAGATTGCATTTAAAGACAGCAAATCAAATGATTTGTAAACACTCAGAGAGGATGCCTTGTGGCGCCATACTATTCAAGGCATACATCAAAAGAGATGGTCGGAGAGCACGATGTGTCTGTGGTCGAGGAAGCAAGAAGCAGAATCTTATATCTCCCTCGGCACCTAAATCGGCAAAAGAGGAAATGATGAAGAAATAAAAAGAAGTATTCTAACATTCTGATATATCTCCCTAGGCACCTAAATCGTCAAAAGAGGAAATGAAGAAGAAGAAAAAAGAAGTATTCTAAAATTTTGATCTTTGTGTGTGTTTTACGTTTTACATTTCTTTGCTGCATGTTTTTTCCCTTACACCTGTGTATGTGTACTTTCACTCACATATCTTTGTGTGTGCCTTTATATTTGATTAGATGTTTCCTGACATGTGTGAATGAGACAAACATACCTTTGAGGGACAAAGTATTTAGATCTGTGGCACCAGTCAGATGCTGGTGTGTACAGTTGTACTTACAGGATCTGTAGCACACTTGTGTTTACTGTTGTACTTATAGGATCTATAGTTCCAACTAGGTGCTTGTGTGTACTTTTGTACTTAAGGGATATATAGCCAGGAATCCTGTGCTGGGTGTCATCCCATTGTGAAGTATCTGGATATAAAATGGGATAATATAATCTGAGGGGGGGGGGGTGGAAAAAAGATTGCAATCTCAAAATTTTAACAGCACGAGCTATCAGGACTGTCGGACAGGTACTACAGAAGCTAAGTGTTTATCACTACCACACCCCCCCCTCCCTCCCCGTTTCACCAGTGTGGACAGATCACCACTCTCTTGATCAGCCGATACAGGTCACCACCTGACTTGATCAGTATGTTTATATCATGTATGTATTGTCTGTACATCATGATACTGTTTCATCTCTTGAATGTGATACAGTCAGTTTATCACTCCTCTCAACTGTTCATAGGATAGTTGACTGAATGATACAGTATCTCAGCGATAGTTGACTGAATTATACTGACTCTCACTGATAACTGACTGAATTTTACTGTCTGTCAATGATACAGGAGAGATACGAGAAAATACTGGTGGCCCACTTTCCTATGTTGCATTTGCATATGGAGGACCAAGGTGAGTGTTGTCGCCATTGACCATTGGTTAACGTATTTGTGTGTGTCATCTTTGGTTGGTGTTTGTGTGTGGGTCATCATTGTTTAACATGTCTATGTGGGTCATCCTTTGTTGACATTTGTGTGTAGGTCATCATTGGTTGACATGTGAGTGTGGGTCATCATTTGTTGACATTTGTGTGTAGGTCATCATTGGTTGACATGTGAGTGTGGGTCATCATTGGTTGACATGGGTGTGTGGGTCATCATTTGTTGACATGGGTGTGTGGGTCATCATTGGTTGACATGTATGTGTGGTTTTCCACTTGTTGAATATGGCTAATATGTGTTGCCTTTGACCCCTGAGAATAACTGTCTTTAGCAGTCTGTAAAGAAAGCGGAAACATTCTTACAAACAGGTCACTGTTCCTCTGCCAGTAAAAAGCAAATAAAATTGCCCCTACTGTCCCATTTAAAAAACTGCTGAACAAACAATTTATCCCATCACAATCCAGAAATATATGCAAGCAGTAAATGCATAAGGCAGTTGCTAGAGGCACCAGGGCCAACTGTCACCACCAGAAATGCAGTTTGTCATTGATATAGTCACTATAAGGCCTTACAAACACAGAATTATTACATAAGGTGTTCTGCCAGCATACATATAAACCAGCTTCTTGCCATATTGAATACAATGATACAACCACTGTGCAAATGAAAGGTATCCAACATTCAAAACACAGCATGCAGTGCTACACCAGGCACTTCACTCAGTAGCTTAAGGCAGTGAAAATGTAGACTTCTTTCCATCCAGATGTCTAAACTGCATTAGCAAAGTGTTGTCAAGAACAAAAATAACCCTGAAGCTTAACATTCTACCATGTTTATCCACCACATTGGGTGGAAGTCTGCACACTGAATGTCCTCATAGCCTTCGCGAAATCGGTTTTTGAAGTATTTGTTAATCTGCCTTGTTACCGAACACCTTACTGTCTTCAATCAATGTTTAACCTGAAATCTAACACTAATGTTAACCTTGTCATCGACATACTTGTGCACTGAGCTAGAGTGACCAGTACCTTGCCCAATCCCGGTGCTTATGTATACACAAATATTTCCAGTGTTGGTCAGTTCAGCAAGGACTCCCTGGCCTTGGAAGTCTTGAAGCAGGTCCTTGGAGTGGGGCCACATGTCAAATACAGTACTGGAACTGTAGCTTCCAATCTTGGCAAGTTAGTCGCCAGTGTCACTTCTTCACCATTTGCTGTAAGTACCTCTGCTGATATATACATTTATTTTGGTTTCTATCAGAATCCTGTCTCATGTTTGCTTTTATACAGTCATTGTTCTTAAGTCCTACTAATTTTAAATCTTCACTTCTATCTCCTCCTACTTTTACTATCATTACTTGTATGTGTGGCAACGAAAGAAGAAGAAGAAGATGTGTGGCAACTTTTAGCCATTAATATTATCTTCTGTGTAACTTAAATAATTATTTCTCTGATCAGCTTTAACTTGCGCAACTGTTACACTTATCTGCTATAATTTTTACAGTCATTAGTACTACATCATCATTAAATACATTTCTGACTGGCGTAGTAGATGGTCATGCTTATCTAAATTTTGCAGTGCCCAGCAGCTTGTATCAGTTTGTGCCCCGATACCCTTCTCAGCCTTGACAGCAACAGGTTCAAAATCGTGTCTTGTTTTCTTCTCTTTCCATAATTCTCTCCAGGTGTCTCATGTTCCAGTTTTTCACTTCTCCTAAAGTGGCCGTAAAATGATAAGTTTCGTTTCTGATGTTTTTATTAGTTGTCTTCACATCTTAGCCTCTGTCAGAACATTTTGATGACACATCATTTTTGACTGTCAAACTAAATGTAAGCATTCCTTTTTTTAAAACCCTTTTTCTTGTTGTCCCTGGTGATGGTTGTGACTGCATGTGCCATTGTCTGCTGCTTCCATTAGTTACAGGTGCTGGTGTACTTGTGTGTGAGGTCTGTGTTTGACATTCTTGTGTTCAATGTTGTCATGTGCCAGGTGACATTCTTGAGTGCAGTGTTGCCAGGTGACATTTTCTGTGTCTTGATGTGATTAACTGATCCCCGCTCCCTGTCCCGTTATTGCAGATCTCCAGCATCGGGGCCAGTTACTCGGATGCCGGTCTTCTGGGCCTTTCCCTGGTTGCTCCAAACTCCGAGATAGACAAGGTATTGTAGATTTCTGGCTCTGTTATGGATCATTTTATAGTTATTTCACAGTTTAGTAGTTTATAGATGTCTGATTTTATTTTGAAAAAGTTTATAACAGTAAAACCTTGTTATCGCAAACTTGCTTAAGGCCATTTGCGGGTGTTCAAAACATCAAATTTCTTTCAGGTCGACAATTTTTGGATAAGTTCGTTTTACACACCTTAGGATGTCTTCTGGCAGATTCAATATTTGTTTTTGTCAAAAATATGTTATTTTAATGCAGTATTAACATTTTACTGAGCTAACCCTAGTGTGAATTATTTGTTTATTGAAATTTGTTACAAAATTAGCAATGTTTCGCCCTTGGCAGTGCTTTATGCACATGGAGATGGCTGTATGTATTATATATCATTGAAACCAGAATATTGTCCCCTGCATTATTTGGCGGGAATCACGAGGATTTTTACGTTTTCCATTCACCGACAATTCATTGACCCCTATAACTGTCTGGAAACTTCCATATATGGGTGTAAACACGATCTCAGTCACGACGGGCAATTCCTGCTGGCTGAAACTGATCACTTGGGTGTCCGATTCTCAAAGATGGCCGCTGTGGTCGATTGTTTACCCAAAAATGGCATGACAGCTGTGAATAAAAAAAAAATGCCTCATTCCAAGAAATTTAAACTCCACTTATCTGATCAACGTAAAAAATCTCAAAGTCTACAATTGGCTAATGCTCATAAGCAAAGAAAGGTCTACCAGAGCGTCGTTAATGTTACAGAACATTCAGAATGTCGCGCATGTGACATGCTTGTTGATGTTCCTAGCGTCGCTGGGATTTTGGCAATCAGTGATTCTGTAGCATCATGTTTTAGTTATAGTTCTCAAAGTTGTGGAAGTGACACAGTTCTTGCAGAACAAATCCCAAGCCAGTTTAAGAGAGATATGTATGAATATATGATCTCCTGTAGCAGCATGTTTGTTTCTGATGATAATAGTGGACATTACAAATTGGAGAGAAGAGTAGTTGATTTTGCCTTTAAAAGTACACTCACTTAACGTGATCACAGTTTTGTCCCCAGGAGGCATGTAAAATTATTTGTCCTCGGTTAATAAAAAAAAAAAATTTTAATGGCCGCTTGATTTTTCAACACTGAAATTTGTTTTAACAAGATATTATTGTAGTTACATCCTAGTTTAGGATTGGTAGATTTCTGGCTGTATTTTATGGACAAGTTTAAAGTATTGTTGCAGATAAGGTATTTAATTACTTTTATAGATGTGCTGTATGTACATTGACAGGACAACATTTTAGAACACTTGATACCTTCCCTGTGTGGGTCCCCAGCCGTAAAGAAGGGGGGGGGTGTAAATATAGCTATGGCCACTTAACAGACGTGTCATAAATGGTAGCCAGTTAGAGGTTTTCTTCTTTTTCTTTGTGTTTACCGGCTGTAAACTCCAGCTAAAAGTTCTGGTTGTTTATACTTATTTGAACTTTGGTCTTCTTCCAGAACCTGAGTGTTGCGAGCACATATCTTTTCCAGATCTCCCTAATATTTTTATTCAGACTGTTGGTTCATTGCCTCTCAGGCATATGCACTCTGACTTTGAAAGCAGCTCCCAATTAGTCAGCTCTTTTGACCTGCTCATTGTGGAGGCAGTGGGTCTGTTCTTGTTTTCTTAACGATGGGACCCCAGAACCTACATGAGGAGAAGGCTTACTGAAATCTGATATTACTTGGGCACCCTCACAACAGCAGAGGGAAGATGTATTATTTTTCTTTTCGTTCATCCGAATGAGGCCATTGACACATCTAGCATACGTGTGCATCGGCAAACGGTTCACTGTTACTGCTGTATCACGTTTGTTGATGGTTTTTCTGTCGCAACAATAAGCACCTGACCCAGCCGTGGAAGATCTGTTGTAAACTTAACAAAACATTTGTGCTCAGTTAGTCACTGTTGTCTTCGACACACATTTGTTAGCATACTGTCTGCATTCTTCGTTGACTGTCCACTGCTTGACATCCTTCAAATGAAACTGAGTTGCCTCTCTTTGAGCTTCTTTGTGCATATTTTGGATCAATCCTGCCATTTTTTTCAACAGTCAGAAACAGAGCCTATTCATCATGGGGCGATAAGCATGTGCTCTTTTATTTGTTGGTTAGCACTTATCGCATGACTGTGACATGATTGTGTAGACCGTTACAGTTTCAAATGACTGCTCCTTATACATGAATACTTGTAACTCTGGTATTAACTGCAGGCGTTATATACACACATGCATACACATACACACATGCAACCCCAGTGTTGCCTGACTATATATCAGTGGTTCTCAACCTATGGGCCACGAGACCCTTTTGTGGGTCCAACGACCCTTTCACAGAAGGTCGTCAAAGACCATAGGAAAACACATTCACTGAAATTATCTTCTTCTTCTTCACGTTCACCAGCTGTACACTCTGGCGGAAAGTTCTGGTTGTTCGTCCACTACTGAACTGCAGTCCTGCTCCAGAACCTGAGTGTTGCGTGTGCATCAGTTTTACAAATCTCATTCTCTTGAATACAGACTGTTGGTTCCTTGCCTCTCCGGCAGATGCACTCCGACTTCAAAGGAAGCTCCCCAATTAGTCGACTCTTACGACATGCTTTTGGGTAGGCAGTGGGTCTATTCTTGTTTTCCCCTACAATGGGGGCCCCGGAACCCACACGGGGGGACTGAAATTATGAAGTAGCAACAAAAATAATTGTATGGTTGGGTGTTGCCGCAACATGAGGAAATGTAGAGGGTCATCGCATTAGGAAGGTTAAGAGCCACTACTATATATTATATATACCTGTAACCCTGGTGTTACCTACAGACGACTGTTAAGAAGACTTGCATTTCATTGTCTATCCCATAGGTGGTTCGTACAGCTGTCAGCAGCTTGAGGTCAGTGCTGACTTCTGGAGTCTCAGACCAAGATGTGCAGAAAGCCAAGTGGGTCCAGCTTTATACATACTGTTGTTTGTTATTGTTGTTGTTATGTGTGTGGTGACCACACATGGCAGGTCATGTCTGCTGAGGTCAGTGTTATGTTTGAGATAAGCCGTTTGCTGGGTTCAGTATCATGTCTGAGGTAGAACTTTTTCTGGGGGTCAGTGTCATGTCTGAGATAAAACATTTGCTGGGGTCAATGCTGTGTTTGAGATAGGACATTTGCTGGAGTCAGTATCATGTCAGAGATAGAAAATTTGCTTTGTTCAGTGTCGTGTCTGAAATAGGACATTTGCTGGAGTCACTGTCATGTCTGAGATAGGATATTTGCTGGGGTCAGTGTCTTATCTGAGATAGAACATTTGCTTGGAGTCATTGTCATGATTGATCTTTTGTCATTTCTTGTGTGTGATCAAGTGACATGACTGATCTGTTTATTATCAGTACTTGTGTGGGAACAGCTGACATGACTGATCCACTGGCACAATTGTTCTGTTCCTGTTCCCAGAACCAAGCTGAAGTCAGAGATCGCCATGTTGTTCCTGGAGCACCCGGACAACCTCTTGTCCTGGCTGGGGGAGCAGACTCTCAACAGTGATCACATCTTGACTCCCCAGGAGGTCTACAGACTGGTGGATCCCATCACAACCGGCGACATCAACAGCGTAAGTTTGCCCTAGCTTTCTTGTTTTGCTGTCCTCTCCGGACTTACATGCCATGTAGTTTGTGAGATTATTGAATATTGATGCCAGTTTTTGAGGGAGGTTACTTGATGTTGATTACAGGTTGTTGGGGGATATTATCGGATGTTAGTGCGAGTTTGTGGGGGAGAGATTATTGGATATTAATGCCAGTTTTTTGGGGGGAAGGGGGGGGGGGAGATTACTGGATATTAATGCCAGTTTGTTTGGGAGATCACTGAATGTAGAGAGAGCTACCGGTCAAAATGCATGCTAGGCATGTTAGCTGTTTTGAGTCGCAGCAAATTTTTGCTTCTGCCAGACGGTGGCCATCGCATTTTTGCTCTATTTGTAGACTAAAAGGATATAGTTTCGTCGCCCAGCTATTAAGTTGAGTACATGGCACGATACTTTGAGCTGCATATTTCATTGGGAATGTTTTTGACTGACCAACCTGGTGATGTGAATTATGGATTCAGAAAATGGCGTGTGACCTATCATCGCAATATTGGTGTTGCCTTTGTGTGATTAAAATGTATCGCGTGTGCAGCTGCTGATCTGTTTTTAACTCCTGCTACCATTGATGATGAACTGTATTTCTAATATCGGACTGTTTGTGTTAGCATTTCTGATGGCTACCGTATACTTTTAATGCCTGTGTGTGCTAGTGCATATGCTAAGACAGCAGTCTGTACATCTTTCTGCAAAGGACTGATGAACATTCTGTTGTTTTTCGTTCGCACAGGAGCGGAGCAACTATGTGGTGACCCGTTTGCTATAAATCTGAAACTGAGATTACCAAGATTACTGAATGTATTGGAATGACAATTTGGGGGAAGATTACTGTGCTTAGTATATGCTATGCAGAGGTCAACGCTTCATCGGTTGAAAATTCAGACGAAGCAGATTACTATACAGACCTGATCCGTTATACGCCAAAGAAGAAGCGCATGGGCATTTACAGCACGCTCAGCGGGCAGACAGAACAGTCAAAGAAGCCAAACGGCGCCTTTCATGACAACCAGCAGCATGACGATGGAGGATGATGCAGTGACGCAAGCGTTGCCTGGCTTGAAACAAAAAAATACTACACCGCATATGTATCTCAGTGATTCAATGAGTATGATCCGGAGGGTTTCAGGAGGTTCAGTGCGAAGACAATGGCTTGAATCATTTCAGAAGTCCACTGTGCGTGGAGTCACCTTTATTTTTTGTTCCGGGACAGCCGTCGATGGAAATGAAAGAGCTGACAGGTTGGCTGGATCCGCTATCACTACCGACGGTCGGCCTATGGATCATGCTGATATTATCAATGCCCTCAGAGAAATGGGAAGGATAGAGGACTTTGGTGGCAGTGAATCCACATCACTCGCCAGAATGGCAGACTTGGGAATTAAGATCGGCACAGCAAAAAACGAGACGCACACCGGACACGTCAGAAGACTTGTTAATCAACATAGGACTGGTACTATTAGCCATCGGACGTTGGGGTTCATACTGAGGGGAGGATCTGAGCACCTATGGACATGTCCGGAGTGCAATGAGGATAACCCAACTAACTAACTAACTAACTAACTAATATGCTAGTTTGTTGGAGATTACTGGTAATGGTATAAAGACAGTTCATGTGGACATTTTTGTAGTTTTTAAAATTTCATATTGTAGTGAGATTGTAGAGTCATGCAGCATCAGGTCGTGGGGAGATGAAGGGGTTAGTACAATATCAGATTGCTGGGGGTTAAATTAATTTCAGGGTGTGGGGAGATTACCAGATTCAAAGACAGTATGTGGGGGAGAACACTGAGCTTAGTACAGTTTCAGGTTGTAGGGAGATTGCTGGTGGTCACTACTATGTTAGGTAGTGGGGAGATTGCTTGGGTTCGGACAGTAATATTTATATTGGGTTACCAGTGACAGTAAAGCTTTGTGCTTGTTTGTTTCAGGCTGCCAAGAAATTGGCCACATCAAAACCTGCTTTGGCTGTGACCGGAAACACTAACAATGTCCCATACCTGGACAGGCTGGTCTCCTAAACTGCCAGCCTAGACACTAGTTACCTTCAGTTTAATCTAGACTGACTTTTGTTTGTGTGAGAGATGTCTGTCACTTTGATTGGACAGACCAGTGTGTGAAAGTGTTATATACTTGTGTAGAGTTTTATTCACATTTTATGCCCCCTGACTGAAGGTGGTTGTATTTCTGTCAGTGGAACCTGACACAGAATACATGTTGATGATTCTACCTGACTGGATTCTGTGATTATTGGTGTTGTTTGTGTGTCATGCTGACAGTTTCTCCTGCCACATCTCAGATAGGTGTTGATACCTGTGCCTAGACAGATATGCTAGTTCCCCCCCACACATGTGATCACGAGGCAAGTGTGCTAGTTCCTCCACCACCACCCAACAAACATGACCACCAGGCAAATATGCTAGCGCCCACAGACATGACCACCAGGCAAACGGCTAGCCCCTGCACATAGGCAGCATAAGAATAAAATCAGTGAGAATACACTTCTTATCAGGGTGAAATCTGTGAACATACACCTGACCTCAAAGTCAAATCTGTGAACATGCACCTGACTTCAAAGTCAAATCTGTGAACATGCACCTGACCTCAAAGTCAAATCTGTGAACATGCACCTGACTTCAAAGTCAAATCTGTGAACATGCACCTGACCTCAAAGTCAAATCTGTGAACATACACCTCACGTCAAAGTCGAATCCACAAAAATAAAAATGAAGTATTTACAGTCTTCCAGTATCTGGGTAACATTTCACAAGATAACGTATTACAGGAGACACTGAAGGGGCAGAAGACAGGACAGATGGATAGTATTTGGGTTTGACCATGTGATACCATTGCTGAAACATGATCTCGCTGGCACACAAGTTATCAGTAGCATTTTTTCCTCTGTTGCTAGCATGTCCACTCATGAGCACTGTAGATCGCGAGACAGCGTGCATTGGAGCAGGTCAACCAGTCCAAATACCTTGGAGTTGTAACAAACCCAAATGGATTAAGACAGCTGACTACTCAAAAGCAGCTGCTGGGAGATTTTTCCAGGCCATTAACCGAGGGTTTTCTTAGCAAAGGAGAAGTTGGCAAGAGGACGAAAATGGTTGCTTATCGCTTTACCTATGTGCCAGTCCTGATTGATGGGTGTGTCATGGGCAATGACAACAGCTCATGGAAGCCAGCTTCAGTCCTCATAAATGAGGCATCTGAGAAAGATGGTCTAATGACAAGAGGGGACAAAGTTTGCAGTCAGATAGTACGTCAAGATTTTGAAACCTGTGTCCATGTTGCACTGTGTCATAGGCAAACATGCCTTCATAAGCACACAAAAGAATATGCAGCTACACAAGGATAACTAAAAAAAAAATTCCTGCATCTTTGTACATATGGAAACGAGTGTGTTAGTTAATATCCCTTCTTCCACCAAAAAACTAACCCTACATGTTTTACACATCACACGAGATTTGTCTTATGAGTTCAAACCATCATGGCGCCAGATTTTAAATTCCTTCTGCATAGCTGAAAATTGTAGGCACTTTTATTTTTTTTTTAACCATTATGTCAACCACTGCTTTACACTGCATTGCACACACTAAAATAATGCTGTTAGAATAAGGAAGATTCACAGTGGATTTAATTACTCGCTTCAAAATGGAATTAAAATCTAGATCATTGTTGCCGAGACCTAGATGAAACGGTATGCACTGGAAAACATACTACAATGAAAATTTGCATAAAACTTTCAGTCATTTAAAATATTTAAAGCTGTGAAATCTAGTAAGGTGTGCAGACATAAGTGTATGTTCTATTCTCGAGCTTATTCCTAGACTGTTTTTGGGGGGGTTTAAATAGGGGACTCCTGATAAAACTGGAATGTATGTCTACCTACTGGATCTGCTTGAGCATTTTTATTCAATCATTGAGTTGTTTGTCACAACCAATGACCACCACTGGTTTCATTCGCTAAATACAATGAGGTTGTGAGTATGTAGGTGACTTAGAAGGCTGTTCTTGGCCCGGAATGTTTTTGTGCAATATGGGTAAGGGCTTGAGCAACTGAGGATCTTTCTAAATTTGTCAGTCAGCTGTTGAAACTATTAATACAAATGCAAGGTCTGACAATTAAGTAATGAGACCAGTAACAAATTGTATGTCTGTCTCGCCTTTCACTGAGTGTGAAGCGTTGACCGGATCCCCTAGTCACTCTTTGCTGCACCATTCACTTCATATCATGAGATTCTGTTTGTGCTTCTGCACTATTTACCCACTCAAACGGCCCTTACAACGCCTAGCTTGAGATGCATCAATTAACCACCAAGAAGTACCAAACCATCCAGTCTGCTGTCTGCATTTCCCAGCATGCCCTAAAGAAAATATCCAAAGGTCGCTAACTAACCGGGACCTCTGAAGCCATTCTTGCCACTGTGTACGAAGCATACAACACGGCTCTGTGAGTGGCTTGCATCACTTGATAAGACTCAGATCAGGAGCATGTCATGGATTTTCTGCCCAGGATATTCACGTGTGTGGGTTAATGAGCAGGCTGCTGCTACTCCTCTGCATGGTGAGCTACTTTATGATAGAGCGGACATGGTGAAGGCTCTCTAGGAACAAATACACAGTGCAATAGAAGACAGACAGAGAATCTGTATATGAAATAATACTTCAAAGGGGATGAGTAGAGGTTCTAAAAGATTATCAACACTCGGTTGCTACTGGTACTATTAGCATTTCGACTCTTTGTTGGCTACAGAGGAACGAGGTGGAGCACATGTGGTTCGGTGTTGTCGATTCTTGATTTATTCATTCTGTGAGTCAGTCACAATCACGCATGTGTGCAGCTGATTCTCAATCCAGCAGAAGACTGCAGTGACTGCATCCACCTCCAAACTAGATGATAGTGTATTATATGCCAAACTTTGTTGCACTAAGCAACGTCCATTCTTTTGCTATGAATTCTTATGTACTTCTGCCTCTGAACACACAGCCATTTGTATCGATAAACACATCATCTAGGCAGGAATTTTCATGAATCTTTTGTTGAACTTCTGATTCTGCAGCGTCTGGTGGACAGTCTCTACACTCACGGCCCAGTGACAAGTCTGACTTGTTCTGACACTGGCGGACTCTTTTTCTCGCCCAATAATCAGAAGCCTGCATACATTCAGCTTTATGTGGCGCGGTGATTTATGTCACAGGCGTGAGGGGAAGTTAAATCCAACATGATGTGTATAAGGAGATACTCCGTACGTCACTCGGGCGCCAGTCCTTCACTGTTCTGGTTTTACGGAACCTCACGCAAGACCCCTGCAGCACGTCCTCGTGCGCCACGGATAATGTCTCAAACGAGCATTAACAGAGCTGTCAGGGGATCTCGGAGTTTGGCGGCCACCAGAGGTGATGTGGCCCTCATCAGCCCGCCCCCAAACGCTTGGGTGAAAAAGGTTATCAAAACTCATTAGGAACATGAGTATGCTTGCCAAACGTACAGCTAAAAATCACAACCCTTGGTTAAAAGAATACATCCTCGGTTAACCCTCAGTGTCGTCGTCACCGCGCCGAGGTACACCACAACAGCAACCATCCAGAGGATGGCCATCCATGTACATCCTCGGTTAACCCTTAGTGTCGTCGTCACCGCGCTGAGGTACACCACAACAGCAACAGCCCATTGGCTGGCTAAGCAGGATGTAAAATTATGTCGGGCTAACGGCTCGTCAAAGAAATCTAACGTGCGAAGAAAAAAGAATGTGCCTATTCGTGTGGTCACAAAAGTCCAAAATCCACAGGCTGCTCCCCGCTGACTTCCAGAGGGCGCAGCTCTTGTCGAGCGGGAAGCCTGATACGGTTGTGAGGTTAAGCAGGCATGTGTAGGACGTGACGATTCCTTTGGTGAGCCCAGAACCAGAGCGCCATGTGCCGGCTCTGCATACATGGAAGCCTCCTTGGATGGCGGGGAATGCCCATGATCTGCCCCTGTCTTCCCTTGAGGGCTAACTGTTCCACATGGAGCTGCCCCAAAGGGGTACTCCGGGGGCAATACCTGTGGAGAAGGAGACAAAGTGGACTCCACACAAATCAGGCAACGTCTTGACCCACACAAAACAAGGGCCACAGTCAACCTAGAAATAGGCCTGACGTCTTCCTTCGAAGTCGGAGTACAGCTGCCCATGAGGCAGGGAACATTAAAACGGTTGTACACGCAAAAATCAGGTCCGGGTGAAAGCCAAAAGTCCAAGCGGACGATTAACCGTGACCTTCCGCCGGAATTCACAGCTGGTGAACGCAAAAAAAAAAAAAAATCATCTTTATAAGATGTGTAAGAGATATCCCAGCAGAAGTGTATATGCTATATGGACACACCGCCCCCCCCCCCCCCCCAAACACACACTCACACACATACATACCAAATATGTTCCTATAAATGCTGTTGGTTTTGCCGAGACTGCAAGTTTAAATATTTTTTTTTCAATTTTTTTTTAATTAAGAATCGACATCATAACAATAGGGACACTCCCGTGAGCCGATTCTGCACCATGCGAAGAGTTCCAGTTCCGATGGCACCAGTAACTGTCTGATTGTATATCCGTCTCGCCTTTCCCTTGAGCGTCGGCCAGATCCTCTAGTAAGTGCCGTTCTCCTCAGACCATAATGATATTTTTGTGCCCCGGCACTGTTTACTCGTTCCAAAAATGCCCTCATAACATCTAGCTTGTCATACATCATTTAACTACCACACCTCTCTGCTCGTTTCCAAACACACCGGCATCATCTTGAGAAAATATCCAAAGGATGCTAATTACCAGGGACCCCTGAAGCGATGCTTGTCACTCTGCACGGAGCATGCCTGTCTGCAGCTTTCTCAACATACTCTGCGAGTCAGTTACTATTACGAGATGTGTGTACAGCTGAATCTCAAGCCAGCGGAAGGCGGCAGTGACTGCCTCCATTCTCAAACTAGACAATTTTATTTTTATAAAGGATAACGATAGACATTTGTGTTGAAGCGGAGCAA